CTGTGTGAGATGAGAGCAATGTGCAATTAAGGAACACAATAATATCTAAGCAAATGTATACAGAAGAATATAAGAATTTTAATTTCAGAATCTGAGTCGTTAATTTGCTTGTATACGAAAAAGATTTATTAAAAATAATCAAATGGACTGCTCATCAAATTTGAATAATTTGCGTTTACAACTGTTTAATTGATTTTGGTTAACGTATTTTCGCTTTATCATTCAGTTGCCATGGGATTAATTTATCTTATATGCCTGCCAAGAGTATTAAATCTTCGGCGCTCAGTTGCTGCATACTTTGTAAAGCTACTGCGATTCCCACATGTACTTTTCTTAAAGACAATAACCACAATAGTTTTATGGCTCATCGCTGACGGTCCAATCCTAATCCCCCAAACCAGAACTCAGCCAAAGCAAATCCAATCATCTCGAGCCAGTTCAATGCTCTACTTTTGTGTAGGGTCGGCTTGACCCAATGCACAGAACTCCACCATCCGAAGCCCAGACTATTCAGGCTCTCGCTCCGCCTCCATTTGTTGTTGTCGACTGCTCAATTTGTTGTTTTTATTGTTATTATTGTTGTTGCTGTTGTTTGTTGAGCTTCTTTTTTTTATGTGTGGACTATTTACTTGTTCATCACTTACACGCCAAAGTAATTTAAAACAAATGCCCCACCAAATCGCATTCGGCTTTGGCTCCACTAGTTTTTATTGCTCTCTCGCATATGCAGCCTCAAATTTGTTCATCCACAACAATTTGGCATGCCATTTGTATTGGCTCATGTTAATACTGGCGCAAAATCCCCAACACGGCAGGCGGCGGCATGCTGAGCCTGGTCGTGGCCCTGGTCTGGCTGGTGGCTGTAGTGTTGATTCTGGTCCTCGTCCTGCTCCTGACTCCGATACACGTTCGAGCCATGTAGTTTATCGAATTGCAGCCGCCGGCATTTCGTTGTTGTTGCAGCTGTTGTATTTTTTAATAGACACATTAAAAAATAATTTAACAGACAAACAGCCGGCTTGATACTCACACAAACAGCCCGTCATTGCATTGAATAAATCATAAATCATTCGGCTTTTTGGCATACAATAAAAATAAACACATCGCTATGAACGTACGATAAATAATAAAAAAAAGAAGAAGAAGCAGATGCAGAAGCAGAATGCCCAGAAAACATGTGACGTCGGGCATCGGTTGATGGTTGTTGCCATTGCCACGTCGCTATTAAACGCTCCACTGCTACATATGATGCGCAGGTTGCGCCAATTTGCTGCCCATTCTCAGTCTCAGCTGGCGCTCACGTTTACGCCCCCGCCCCCAATGCCCGCCCACCAACAGCAGAGCATACACACACACACACACACGATATACACACACACATTGTATGCTACATGTTCGCTTTTTACACATCATAATTTTTTATGCTAGTTGACTTTTAGCCGCTCTTGTTGGCACCTTCTTTTTTTTCTTTTTTTTTCTTTTTTTTTGCTGTTGTTGTAAAACCTTTTTGTGCAGTCATTCATTTTGAAGCGAGCGCCAGGACAACACCGAAAAGTTGTTGCCATGTACAAATTAATAAACGAGTAACTGACAAAAAGGTAATTTATTATTTTATACATATTTGACAAATTAATTTAATGATGCGACGCCTCGCTTCGCTTACACACACACACACACACACGCACACATATAAACGCGCACGCCCCGCTGGTACCCCGATTGCCTCGCAGCCCCAACTCAGTCCATTTCGCTTTTGGCTCTGCCGCCACACATAATAATTTCTCATTTAATTTTTCAATTTTAAGCGTCATTTACACATGCCATGCCATGACAGAGCTTGGTCCAGATCCCAGTTACCCCCTTGCGCCCGCCACTTCCTTCCTGCGGGCGCTTGGCTTGCTTGCTTTTGGCTTTGCTGCTGACTCTGTTCAGGTTTTTCATTTTTATATAAATTGTGTGTGTATGTGTGTGTGCGTGTGTGTGTGTACATGTATGTATATATTTGGCATTAAAAGGTAATCATCGAAAACTGCGCAGGCATGCAGTTTTCACGCCGTTGTTGTATTTTGTATGCCTGTCATTAAGTCGTCAGCGCGCAAAACAAGAGTGAGAAATGAGAAATGAGAAACGAATAGCGAGAACCTGAGCCCTAACCAGAATCAGAGTCAGACACAGCAGGGCAGCAAGCTGCGCGTTGCCCCAGGACGCAATCAGTGGCTCACTCAGTCGGTGACGCATCAGGAAAAATGAGTCGGCTTGCTGTTGAAGGGGGGTTTGCGGGTGCTAAGGGCCTTGCTCGGTGGCGTTGCACTTGAACGTGTTGCCATTGGTCTGAAGAGCTCGTACGTTAATGGCACTAGAATCAGTTTTCATTAACGATATTCCGCGCTCGCGGCCGGACTTGGACTCGCTCTTGTTAAGGCGCAAAAAAAAGAGAAAAATAAAATAAATAAAAAAAAAAGAAGCCACATGCGTACATTGCTGGAATATTTCTCGCAATGGCTGCTGCGGCGGCAGCGGCTGTTGTGGCAACAGCAACAGCAACAGCATTGGCAATGGCTCTGGCTCTGGCAATTAATAAAACACACACCTTCCGTGATGCTCACATGACCATCTCCTTGGCCGCCTTACCCCACTGGCTGCACAGTGGTCTAAAGCACTTATTTACGCGACAGTGATGTGTTGGCTGTGTGCTGGTTGCCTCTGGCATTACCTCTGGTATTGGCAGCACCGGTCCCTCTTGCATTGTTGCTGACTCTGGTTCTGACGATGGCTCTGGCACTGGCACTGGCTCTGGCGCTGGGACAGGCTTCAGAATTCGGTGCTGGAAATTGAATTTATAAATCTCAAACGGTACAAAATATTTCGCACGCATATTTGTTCACAGTTGGCGGGGCTGATGCTGAGATTTTCATATAAATCACATTTACCAACGTAAAATATAATAAATAATACATGTACATATGAAAGCGTATATGCATCTACCGCAAACACATTCATAAATCTTTCAGTTTGGATTTTCACTTTGGTGGCATAAATTGACACTGGTGTGCTGTGTACGAAGTCTCAGTTACCGTCACCAGCACTGGCACGTCACCATCGCAGCAGCCAGTCGCAGCAGCCACATTTGAAAACCACGCTTGAAAGCATGATGGGTCCATACGTCCGGATTCAGCATCAGCTTGAATGCAACAGAGTTCGCTGACAGTAAAAACTCATTTACGAGAAATTAAATTAAAAGTTAATTAACGCTGTCAATGTGCAAAGCACTCCACTCAGCCAGGCAGGCAACCCGGCAACCCGGCAATCCAACAACCAGGCAAACAGCCAAGCCGGCAAACAGTCAACTATGAACAAACCACCTGAAACTTTGCTGACCAAGTTAAAAAAAATCACTGCAAGTTAAGTTAAGCATATGCCCGCAGAAATTGATGAGAACTGGTTTTAAATATCAGCTTGACAATTTAAGTTGCAAGGCCGGCTGTGTAGCTGTCTGGTTGTCTGCCTGTCTGTCTGCCTGTCTGCCTGTCTGTCTGTCTGTCTGTCTGAACGTCTTGTTTGGCGATGCTGTTAATGCGGCATGGCCTCCAGTTATGCGCACTGCACACAGTGCGTATGGTTAATGTGACATGACCAAGCTGCCAGCCGAACTGTTCGTGGCTGCATGGTCGTTTGTCAGCCTGTCTGTCTGGCAAAATCAACAACAAGATGCAACATGCTGATAATTAATTTGTGTGTACGTTGCATTCAATTGGTCTTAAGCGAATTTGAATAACGGCTCAAAGAGACTGTCTTTGCTGTCCGAATAAAATACTTCTAATTTGTAGGCTTGTTGCTGTCAAACGTTTAAAATAAATTGTAGAGAAAAGCCCTATTTAATAGCAATGCTACATTCAAATTGAACTAAACGTTTTCATTCAAAGTGATTAAAGATTACATAAAAGAAGACACCATAAATACTTTGCCTGCTTAATAAGTATTTTGGTAATTATAATAATTCGGTAATTTCAAATCGTTCTCAGGAGTTATTCATCGCAATTAAGAACATTTATGACACAAGCTCAGGTTTAGCTTATAATATTTCAAATGAGATCATTGGTATACAGTGTAAATAGTAGAATTGAAAATATTCTTACATGATTTGAATCATGATTTGAATCAATTATATTAGAATTTCTGGTGACTTTTAGCAATGGTAATTAAAACTTCTGAGAACATCAATAACCAGATGAGCTTCACAGCTTTAGGTTAGTCCCAAAAATCCAAATACCTAACCTTTACTCAGTCTTAGAGTTTCTGTGTTTAAAATTTGCAAAGAAATAAATCGAATTCGATTTTAAAGTAAAAGTTAGAACGCTCTTTTCTACATGATTCCCTTCTTATTACACTAAAAACAAAGTATTGCTTAGTTGTTTATTCTAATTATTGCTTAACATACCATCAAATCAATTACTTTATCACTGGCCAAATAAAATCGTCTTAGTATAGCCCACAGCTTAAAAATATATTCTGTTTAGTTTTAAGCTGTAATTGTTTACATTAATGTTTATTGAAAAGATAAATGTATACAAATGTATCTTCATTTGATTATTGTCAGTAATTATTTGAACGTTAGTTTATTAAATGCATTTAAATGTAAATGAAATTACATTTATAATAATTCTTATGGACACGAGCATGACGAGCATGAATTTAACGAGTTCTGGCATTTAGTGGGCTGGCACTCACACGTAATGACAGTTCTTGTTGGGCCCAAGGGATGTTGTAATACAAATAAATAAATATTAATATACTTGTAGATTGGCAATTGTAAATGCACTCCCACGACCAATTTCGTAACGTTTCGTAAATTAAAGATAACATAAATGGGCCTGTGCTGACATGGAACACGGCACGCCAAGCTGCCAGCTCCAATTGCAGTCTGAGTCCCAGTTGCAGTTTTTTCTTGCTGTTGCAGTCGGGCGGATGCCGTGCCGGCACATCAATGTCGTTGCTATAGCATGCTATTTGAATTGAACAAGTGTCAGCGTCAGGGGGACATAGGGTCGGAGTCGGAGTCGAAGGGGGGGACCCTTTTCCATTGGGTGTGCTCGAGCTGCAGTTGTGCTAGTCTGGTATTTGCATGCTCTGCCTTTGCCGAGGACGACAGTGCTCTCAAAACTCAAAATATTAACACTTTAACGCCAAGTTTTTTATCCGGTTGCCGGAAGCAGACAACACAACACCCATACGCCCACACACCAATACATCCATACATCCAGACAGCCATTCAGACGCCCCGACACACACACACACACACACACACACACATAGCCATAAACTGTAGCGGTCGTTACGGTGGCAAAACGCCATGTTGGATTATTCAACTCGACGCCATTTCGCGTCACAATGCGCGCTGTGCGCCGCCATCATTGCACTCGACAGCAAACGGCAAAAGCAAAGGCAACGGCACATGCCGCCAACGTTTGCAGCGACGGCCAACGCGGCGGATGAAGTTGCAATTCAAAGTCATAAACACGTGCAGCGTGGGCGCAAAGTCGCAGCTAAGCTGCAAAGCAGGCGCTGCCACTGACAGCACCAATAGCAACAACAGGACCAGCACTTCCTGCCCAGTTAGTTTGGGGAAGAAGAGCAACATAGAGGCAGCGGGACAGAAAGGGAGAGTGTGTGTGTGACAGAGAGAGAGAGAGAGGATAGGCAGGATAAAAGAGAGGGAGAGTGATCCCCACAAAGCCGGGAACGCTGCCCTTTTGTTTCCAAGCCATTTTGTTGCCGACGCGTCGGTTGTTGTTCGTTTTTCATTTGCATGCAAAATTCAAACATCAGCATAAAAATGCAATTTTTATTGCTCAACATTTCTCAACGCCCGCTGCAAATATTTTCGCGGGTTTTTATTATTACCATTATTTTTGTTGTTATTGTTTTTTTTTTGTTTGTGTTTTTTTGTTTTCTGCCATTGTTGTTTGTTTGTTTGATTCCGCTTGTTATTGTTGTTGCAACTACTACTGACTGCTGCCTCATATTTATTTTGAGTTTTTATTTTGGCCCCGTGGCGTGCACACCGTTGCCGCCTTTACTACCTCCGGCCCCACCATCTACACCTCCGCCGCTTCCTTATGAGCTGCACTTTATGAAAATGCAGTTGCCAGTCCTGCTTCGTCCTTCGCCACCGTCGCTACCGTAAGAGTTACCATGGTTATGGCGATGAGCGTTGCTTCGAGTACATTGCAAATATTTTATTATTGCAAAATTCTGCCAACTTATCCTGTGCGCATGTGAATCTTAGTGGGAGCTAGTAGGGTTTGGGTATCTGCCTGTTGACCGCCGCAAGGCAGCAGGAAGGATGCAGCAAGCTAAAAATAATATTTCGTTGCATTTGCAGTTGTTTTGCCTTGTTTGTTTGTTTTGTTTGTTTTGTTATATATATATTTTTTCCTTTTGTATTTTTTATTTTTGTTTGTCGGTTCGTTTAGTTGAAATTACGTTTTGTGTGCCACTGAATTTCATAGCAGCAGCGGCAACATCAGCAACAGCAACAGCCATAACAACAACAACAAGAACAACAACAACAACAACAACATCAACTTGAGCCAAAAACTTGCTTCGGTTGTTATTATTCTTGCGTTTACTCCCGGCAAATTTGCCGTGTGCCGCCTTGCCCCGTCTGTGTGTTGTTGTTGTGTTGCTTGTTGTTATTGGTGTTGTTGCTCTTGTTGTTATAGACACCACCACAAGTGAGAGCAGGAGGTGTAGCAGCTCCGTTCGCTGGCGCTGCATTTCGTTACGGCACGAGTCTCAGCTGTAGCAGCAGCTCCTGCCAGTGTTTTGGCTGGGATTATTTTTTTCATGCTGGCTTTTTCCAACATTTTAACTTCCGCTCAATTTACCTTTAGGCCAAGTAATTTAAAAGCTGACGTGTTTGTACAACTACAATTTCGACTCATGTTACTGTTGCTGTTATTGTTGTTGTTGGTGTTGTTGGCATTGCCTGTGTATAGCACTTCCTGGTGTATATTTTTGCTGGGTTTGCCGCTTGCTATGCTCCTTGCTTTGCTTTTTATTTTCTTCTTACTGTTACTGTTACTGTTATTGTTTTTTTTTTTTTGTATTTTTTTTTTGAAATTATTTAATAGAAGCAAACGAAATTTGCTGCTGCTCTGACGTATATTTTGTTTATTTGCCCTCCATTTGACTGCCACTTCTGATAGCCACGTTTTTGATGGGTCCGGTCTAAAAGCTAAGACAGCCAAAGCTGTTAAAACTGTTTGCCTTGGTTAATAGTTGGTAAAGCAGCAAAGCTATCCAAATGTAAATATTAATTAAAGTCGATAGTAAATGGCCAAAAACGTTTTATTCGTTTGTTTTTCTTTGGCATCAGTCTTGGTCTTGCTCCTGCTCCTGTTGCTGTTGCTGCTCCTGCTGCCTCTGTTTGACATGTGAGCACGCAATTTCCTTGATTGGCCACCTTCAGTGATTGAAGGCGCGCACTAAGCTACCGAAACTCAAAGGATATGCATAACATATCAAAAAGCGTAGCATACTATTTGGGGCACTCGCGCACGTGCTATATATATAAATATATATACACATATATGTGTACATATGTACATATGTGTGTGAGTAAGAAAAGTTAACGCAATTGTTTGTGTTCAGTCTGGGTCAGCCAGCATCCAGGCCTTGCTCCACCATTTCACAGACCCGCAGATCGCCTGGCAGGCAAGCCAACGAGTCTGTTAGCCAGCCCACAGTAGCCGCAGGCAGCAGAATCACCAGTAGCCACAACTTCAGTTTCACCATCACCAGCAAGAGCAGCAGTAGTAGGAGTAGCAGCAGCAGCAGCAGCAGCAGCAGTAGCAAAAGCAACATTGGCGCTAGCCAGCCATGTGCCTTTTCTGGAGCTGCATTAAGTGAAGTATTGTTTCTGCTAGATTAATCCCGTTTTAATTAAATATACACGCTGCCAGCACAAAACCAACAAGACTGTTGGCTCTGCTGCTTCCTGCAAAAAAATTACGGCTGGGAAATATTGCAGGCCGCAGCCGGAGTCCGCAAACCCGCACACACCGCCACTCTCAGCAACTACTTTCGACTTCTGACGTCAGGCATATGTGTAAGCATGCTCCGACTTCGGCTTCACCATGAGCTTTAACTGGAGCTGGTGCTCCACTCCAATTGACAAAGTGACTTGACTGACTGAGCCGGTGCGTGAGTGCAGCAAAATAAGAAAAGAACAACAACAGAGGCGGCAAACCCAGATGATTGTAGTGCACATGAATCCGTGCACTCGACCTCGGTTTATTTATTTATATTTTCATGTTGTCCCAGCACTCCTGTTTTAAGCAAAAGAAAAATAAATAATGATAATAATATTTTTTCTCACGCATTCGCCCCAAAAAGCATCCTGCGCTTGCTTGGTGTTTGAGCAGTAAATTAAAAATGTTGCGGTTTTTTTTATAAGTGCTCGACGAAGTATGTGGCAAATATCAGGTTGCTGTGATGCAGGCTGCATTGTGTTTTTATGCAACGCATTGCGAAACGAACGGATTAAGCTTTGCGTAGTTAAAAGGTGTTGTTTTGCACTTTGTCGTAATGCCTATGATCTAACTTAAGTGCATCTTGAATTCTCAAGTTAATGAGTTACAAATTCCAAGCCCTCAAGCACCACAGTCATAAAAAAGTTAAATTTAAGAGATGTTTAGAGATTGTAAGTACAAACAAAGCAATGTTTTCAATAACGATATTATGTACTTTACAGATTACAGTCAACAGCTGGAGCAAGTTAATTTTAAATGTTTAAAACATGAAGGGTATGTTTTAAAATAATTTAAATTGAAGATTTAAGTTAAAATTGCAATTTAAATGATGTACAATTAAAAGTGATGAGCTAAAAGAAAAGAAAAAACAAAATAAAACATATAATAAATCTGGAGTAATGCAACGATTTGGGAGACCCAGATTAAACTCAAATCAAACCTTATTTGATAATTGATAATTGTGGAATAAAACCTTAAACAACTATTCAATTAAATTACCTGATAATCTTGGAAGGAGCCAAATTTGGCATCATGATCCCTGGAAAGCATTAGGCCATAGGTATTAGGTAAAGCATGATTTCATTTGTGAACAACTTCTGTATCGAAGTCTTCGATTTCTGGCTTCCTTATATGTTTCTCTTGAAGTTGTCGCTTACAATTTTGCTTTGCGTCCGTCCTTGACAACAAACATGTGGTTAAGTAAACAGGCCTACTACATGCTACTGTGTGTCTGTGTGTGTGTGTGTGTGTGGGTGTGCATCTCTGATGCATACTTAAATATGAGTAAGTACACGCACGCCAGTAAGTGCCCATTAAGTGTGGTCTTTATTTTTTGCATGACCTGGCTCTATATATATATACATATTTGCATACCCAATTCGGGCCGAATCCAACCGGGCCCATTTTGATGTAGTTTACCACATTAAATAAATATACTCTCCTGTTAATTCGTAAAACAAACTTGTCAGACTTGCAGCAAGGTTACAATTTAAGCTTTTCTGCAATTCAGATGAAATCTGCAATAATTTTCAATAAATTTTACTTCCAGAGGAAACATCAACTTTACTGCTGCAAATTCTATTTGCCCATTTAAGGCGGATCTTGAAAATATAAAATGAATTTGTTTATTGTATATTTATGAACATATAGTGCTGCCACATATTGAATTAGAACGAAAAAGTTTGATTGTATACGTAATATACTCGTTTCATATATAGTTGATTTGGCAATTTATGTTATTGTGTGTTTCTGGGCGTCACTTTGCTTATATTGCTGCCAAATTTTGTGTGAGTGCACCTATTTGTAAATTCCATTTATTAGTTCAATTTGCTGTACATCAAATATATGTACTCGGCCACAATAAAAATCAACAGCATAAATCCACACATCGAAATTGGCTAAAAAAAAGACTAACAGAAACGAAAATAATAAAAAAACGATGGAAGCTCAAAATACTATTGTATTTTTCTGTTGATAAGTTCAGTTGCACTGCTATCGACATACGAATTATTGAAAATAGCGAAAAACATAATTTAATATTCGCGTTTTTCTATATGCACGCATTTCTTTTATTTTCAATGAAAAACTTCATATATATATGTATATATTAAAATCATAAATATTGAATTTACTAATTTCTTCTCTTATACTTTTTTCCCATTATTACAAACAACAAGTAAATTGAATAAAATTATGAGATGAAAACTACTTTTTAGTTAGACACACACATAAACCAAACTCGTATAATCCAAACTAAAATGGGTGTCTACAGTGTCTAATATTTGAACGTTAGCAGTGAAAAATCGGTGTGTAAATTGGCAGTGCTTTGGCCATGTAATAACCAAAATTGATAACAATCAATATGGCTATGGACATGTGCAGGTGTTGTCGTTGTCGGCCGTAGAGCAGAACTGTCACAAACATGGGGCCCGCAACAATGTGCACTGCACAACTTGTTGTCAGCGCTTAACTTGTCATTGTCAGTTTGGCCTTCTTCTCCTGCCTGCATGCCCATAAACGTAAAGTGCACGCATTGAAT